TTACTAGCTTCATTACTTCAGCCTCAGCTGAGTTGACTGGATCATAGCAAATTCCTTTCTTTTGTGATATCACAGTGGACTCACTCAAACTCTGCCTTTGGAACTGTCTTGAAATAATCCTTAAGCATTGATTGTATTTGGTTGTTACATAAATCCTTGTAGCTTTCCAGTAAGTCTTCCTGGAATGTAGAAAATCAAATAAAAGAATAAAAGGGAAGAGAAATAGAGATGGTTGAATGAAACATGGGCCAAGACTGCTCAAACCTTTTTCTCAAAGTGGAAGCGTTTGTCATTTCTTAACATGGTCACAAACTCATCTAATCCTCCATGAAATCCTGTTTGATTCGCGACCTGATTGACAATAACACAATTATTATGTCCATTAATGATTAAAGAATTCCAAGAGAATATTGTATTGGTACTCTTGTCTACAAAAAGGTATTTTTTTATGAAAAGCATATCAAATACTGTAATGCCAGTCATAATCATTCCGTCTGATGCATGTACCAGGTTCATCCTTTCTAGTATTCTTGCAACTTCTTTGATGCCAATGTCATGCACTTGTTGAGGAGTTAAATCACATGTAATATGAAACTCAAGAGCCTTTTGATAAAAGTCTTTTCCATTTGGGAATTCTTGACATGAAATAGTGTCTCTGGCTGCAGGGATGTATTCCTGTGTCAGTTAAACAAAAATGTAATTGAGTATTCTTCCCCTCTCAAGTAGATAAACAAATAATTGACTAACCTTTGTCAAAAAATCTTTTAARTCTTTAAAAGAGCTTTTTATTTTGTTGTCAATCAGAGAACACTTYTCTTTTATGCATTTCCTATTAAAAAATAGTATGTTATGGAATAAGCTTTCTCAATACACTTGCTCTGTAACCCACTTAAATCCTGTACAAAACAGAATACAAACTGATACCTTTGATCATCTGTAAAAGATTCAGGGATGTTTTTGAAGGGAGCATAAATTTTTGAATCTCCATCTATGCTGGCATTTAAAATAGAGTTTTCAATCTGCTCTGGTGTACTGGTCTATTTCATGCAACAAGAAATCATATTAACATGGAGTCAAAAATGATAAATGCATGTAATTTAACAAGGAAAACATGAGGGTAAAACAGTATACTTACCACAGTGATCTTTGGTGGAATGTAACCAGTCTCAATACCTTTTTTCAAAAGACCAATATACTCTGACATCTAAAACAACGTGAGAAAGAAATTCAACAACTTTAAGATAAGCTGATAGTAACGATACATACGTCAACAAAAGTTAATGGCTGATCCAGGATGTTATACGAATGTTGCACATGAATACTTCACTAACATCAATGATTTAATAAAATGCTCTAAAATACTTAGGATACTACGCGCGCTGTGATTGGTCGAAAACCATGTTTGATTACAGTTTCTAAAATATTTAGGATACTACGCGCGCTGTGATTGGTCGAAAACCATGTTTGATTACAGTATCAAAACACGCTCGCGCACGTCAAAAATTTCTTTTTTTCTTTTAATTTTAGAAAAGAAATAAAAGACGAAATTCCGTGTTTGATACTCTGATCAAAACACTTGGGATGTAGGGAGAGCACTCAAAAAGCTGGAAACCACTCCGCTACGCGTCATGGTTTCCTACGCTTCTCTCGTGCTCTCCCTACATCCCGCGTGTTTTGATCAGAGTATCAAACACGGAATTTYGTCTTTTATTCCTTAACTAATGCTTAGTTATTCCATTGGTTGCCTTTCAAGATGATAATATTTTGAGCATTATTAAATATCTAGTAATTATTCCTTAAGACAACAACACAACATAAACTAGCTATTATAATTATATAATCCTTAATTTAATTGCTTTGCTACCTGTTTGGGAAAAGCATTCAGCCTGGAAAACAGCTTGTTGTAGTCTTTCATTGTATTGAACTTCATCCAGGAAATTGTCTTTGGAAACAGTAACTGTGGTCCTTCAAGGTTGTTTATGGGTAGGAGAAAACTAATGAAGACATGGTGATGAGTGATGGATGACATTATGTAGCTATATTGAGTGATATTGTGCAACAAAACAGATAACATTCATTCATATTTAATACTGAATGTGCAGCCGTGTAGCGTAGACGTTTTGGCTAGTACGCACATGTCAGGGACCGCAACACACATTTTGGATATGGGGGTCTAACGACTGCCAAAGGTGGGAGTATTAAGAGAGTCTGGACCTCCCCAAGGAAATGTTGAAATAATAACTCTTGGAAATGCGATTTCCAGCGTTTTGAGAGAATTCAAGGGCATATATAAGGAATCAATTTTATGTGAATTTTTCAGAAATATATTTGTAAAATTTTATGTTTCCTTGCCACTAGTATGCACGTGCGTATATGCGTAAAGGACGATACGCGCCAGCTGATGTGATATAATTCATGATTATAATAGAAGTAACATGAAWTATGCCAGAGTGACATGGTGCACAATCATGGATTTGACATGTATGTGGTGTGACATTCAGAGTAACATTGGTGGGACATATAACCTTGGCAAACAATCAGTCAAATATTGAGAATTGCAGCTCATGTGGCTATAGATGTCTACAGATGGTGGCAAACAAGCAGAAGGAATGATTGAATATCAGTGATTATATTAATACCTTAAATGCTTCGATCCATCAAGAAACATTTGAATATCTTTTTTTAGAAGAGTGATATTGAAGAGATCATCCTGTTTACAAGAGTACAAAATAAAGACATCACACTATTCTGTTCTACATTTCCAGGTAAATAATATCTAATTGTAATAGSTCCAAGTTTCAAACAATTGATATAATAATAATTATAGTTTTGAAAACAAATCTTTACCTTTGATAACTTGTTTGTATTTAAATGATTTAGTTGCTTTAAAAACATCTTGCTTTCTTCCTGAAGTAAAATGTTTGTAAAATTATAGTTTGAATGAAGAATAGGAGAAATAAAAGAATGCATGGGAAAATGGATAAATGTCGAATTGGTAATAAATGATCAAAATCATCATTGAATTCAATTGAAATCACCTTAATAAAGTAATAAAATAAACCAGGATTATCTGAAGAGAATTTATATTCCGTTTATACTGATGAAATGGTAAATATTGAGTCTTTACCTGGCGTGTTTGGTAGGCTTCTAACGCGTGACTATCAAGACTGTCGTCATGTTCATGATGTCCAATCATGGTAGCAAATTCTGGACTGTTAGCAAGGCGCCACTCCCAAAACTTCTCCAAAATAGATTTGACCTCAGTACTCATGACTTGTCTCTTTTCCTTATAAACAATAATAATTAGAAATTCACCTGCAACGACCAATGGGACTGGGATATTAGGAAAAAGTTGTCAAAACTTAGGTAAAAATTGGTTCTTGATAGCTGTCATGATGGTTATCAAATTGTAATGCAAATTAGCCATGCGGTCCTCCAGGGGTAAAAAAAAAACAATACTTTTACTGGTTCAGGCAATGAATTAGTTTAAAAAGCATAAWGTGTGCTTTTTTATAACTGTTGCAAGAAAATGAAAAAAAATGAGCTTAATAATAAAGATTAAGTTATAAGCTTTTAAAAATCAGTTGCAAAACTGCCTGCATTGATTTAATTAATACCCGGGTAATAACATGCGATTATCTTGAAATAATGTTTTTATGTATACTCGATCGCTCAAAATTTCTTGTTACTCATTGTTTACCTCCTGGAGGACCGCATGGCTAATTTACATTAMAACACGAGCCGGCTAACGTGAATAATAACGCATCTATTTGCATGATTTTATATCTATGTTCTCGGATTTTTATTGCAAGGCGTTACACCACGAAGAGGAGTAAAACTGGGAACAAGAAAGCGCGAAATGAGACTTGGGAAGACACAGTATTCAGATGATTTTCTGAAAAAAATATTTTTTCAAAATCTACTTTTACTTACTACGTGTTTTAAATGTCGCGATTCTTCGCAATTACTAGTCATTATTTTCGTGAACAATACTTTTTTCCCCGCGCAGAAGGCTTGCGGCTTCGTCCTTACCCGACCTTGCCGAACACGTAGAGTTTGGATATATGATAAAGGGTAAATACCTATACCTTTGGAGCTCAGGGCAAGGTCTAATATCTACCTGCCCTGTAGACTCGGTTGCAAGTCTGGGCAGTAGAAAAGGATCATCCTAAAAGCAGGATGGCATTGCGACGCGGSRACGTGRACGCGGGGGATGTCAGWATTCRTGAATTTTTGAAAATCAAATTCTTAAGAACAAAATATACTAACAATACTTTACTTTACATTTTTAACTTACTCTGAACTGGTCATCCAATTGTGCAGATTACTTTAGATTACTTTAATTATTTTCCCATACACATTCAGCTTTCCTTTTTACCGACTTTAATCGCTATAATTTACGCACAAAACAACATACACCATGACAAAATTACATTCTAATTTGTACCTATTGATCGTTTTCAATTATTCCCATGACATCCAAAAGATAAAAGATCGGCGGCCATGTTGGAGGAATCTTGGGTTGCATGCGACGTCATAGTCAAGCAAAAAATCTCGAAAAAGCCAAGATGTTTTTTTCTAAAGAGCTCTTCTTACAGTATATCTTAAATATACTTCTAGATAGTGTGTATGCAAATTTTGATACGAATTCGACGCTTTGGTGGCGAAACACAATAGTTTTAGTTTGTGTGGAGTTTATTAATTTAATTATTCTACTTCTAGATTGTAAATAAAAACTTCGATATTGGATAAATCATTCTTTGTAAGAACTTATTTAAGGTGATTTTTCTTTGAAATAAAGCCATAATTGAACAAAATCTACAAAGAAAACCTGAGTTTTTAAAGTCAATTAAAAATCAGCCGCCATCTTGGATGATCAAAGTACACAAATTGACCAAATATTTTAAATCTTTATTCACTCATATCTTAAKCTACAGGACCTTAAAGCTCGTATTCTAGATAATCTGACTATGTTCTTTTTTAAGCTCTTTTTTTAAAAAAAATTACACTAATAAATTTTCACTTCGGGACGAGAAACCCTTTGTTTAAGTTCCTCCAAGATGGCCGCTGTGACGTAACTTGAAAACAAAGAATAGGTCTCGCTATTTGTCATTAAAATTGTAACTATTTTTTAAGGCCGATTTACACGATGCGACTTGAAGTACACGACATAATCAGAGAGTCAATTTCGTATGAATGTGCAAAGTCCGTCACGGATCACGAAACGGTCACGGARCCTCGCGTGGTTAGCAACGCTAAMTGAAAATATATTGATTCAACAACACGTGCACCATCGCTCCGGCAAGGTACGGTCACGACACGAAAGTGGCGTGTTTTTTGCACAGTCATACGAAATCCGCTCTAAATGGCTCTACGACATGATACGACCTATCTTCTTGAAAAATGAAAAATATTTTTGAACGCATCAAGTCGAATCGTGTAACTAGCGTGTGAACGCACTTCATGAGAGCTTTGCTACAAGAAAGTTGTTAGGTTTTATAAAGTTCTACTTACAGAAAAGTGATTCCCAGTCATGTTAATTCCTTTATAAAGGTATTTTTGTTGGATTTTTGGACTAAAAAAAATATTTCTAGTCAAGACAAAACGTCACCTTGGTGTTCATTGGAATGAGAGTTGCGTGACAAACTTTTATTGATTACGAGAATAACACGTCGACGCAGTTGGGTTGCGGTTATCGGTCTTTGTGACGTTCCACAGTTTGAACTATAATCATTATGGTTTTAAAGGTTAGGCTGCGAAGGAGACTATCAATTTTATTCTCTCAATTTTATAAAATATTTTTTTTTTTTATATAATTCTACTGCGAGCCAATAAGATCACGTAGCTCTGRTTTTACTAATATAGTCATCAACAGCCTCTTCTAGCGTTGCCAAGGAAACTGATCCAACGGATAAAAACAGGTCGTGGAACTCGCGAAGATCAAACAAACTCCCTGAAGAACAATTTAAAAATTACAGTGTCAAGTATGATTACCTAACGGATGTTAGCAATGCAACCAGCTGGGATTCTTGTATTAACAGTTAAAATTAATTTCTTCATTTCATAAAATAGTTCGCCTGCCATGCTGGCGGTCTGCGGTTGTCCCTACGCATAGAGCGGATTTCGTATGAGTGGGAAACGGACGGTACTGTACTGTGACCGTAATCGTACTGTAACCAAATTCTAGTGCCCCATTGGTTTACCAAAATTGTGAAGGCCATGCAGGTCCGGTAACTGTGCGGTAACCGTGCGGTAACGGTGTCCCACTCATACGAAATCCGTTCTATTGCCGTCCATGCCGCGGCCTGAGAATCATTAAACTCACTTACGTTGTTTTTGTTTGATGGATACCATGATGTATACATCTACTACAATATACGATACACTTACCTAACTTATCTTGAGCTCTTTGTCGTAGTTCTCTAATCTTAATTTCTCCAATCTTATATGCGCACGCCTGGRRACAASAAGTGCAAGTACCGTTAGTTTTTAACACTACTGAATGTAAAAGTCAATGTGTAGATGGCAATAGGCCCAGTCTTCAGGTTTAATTGTCAACTGATAACAATTTGATTATTAGGTGAAGATTATTAGGGATTTGCTTGCGCAATTTTCCAGCCAATTGACTTGTGCAACAGCTTCTCAGTCATAGTTAATAACTATTCTTCTGTGCATGCTTTAGCTCTGAACATGTCTGGATAAATAGTCCCGTACTACTGTCTTTTCAAATCTTATTCAGAACATTATTTTCATTTTTTTCTTATTTCTTTTTGTTAATTTTATCTATTTTTTTTGTGTGTGTGTGTTTTATTAACCTGGTTTATATTATGAAGAACGCATTGTGGTCTTTAGAGGACACGGATATCCCCTTTCAGTGTTAACGTTTTCTGAAACAGATGATACTGAGAAATGACTTACCTGCCCTGGCCACGTGATATACCGCGTGACTTCAGCTTCGATGTCATGTCTGGACATTGCAGTGTTTTGGACCATGAAGTCCACAGCTTGTTGTCGTGTCCACCTGCAGAGAGATCATATCCTGACAATGAATATCAAGACACTTTAACGTCGTTACTAATACTAGAATAGCTGAATAAAACAACTTTGAAAGACAACCCAAGACAGAGTTGCCTTTAGTGGAATTAAATGACCGCCTAATAGAGGTTGACTGTCTTTTACTGAAAGGTATCACTAATAGTCACTCCCCCCCCCCTCCCATGTAAAGAGGCATTACACGGGGACACAACACGTAACAGTACTTACCCTAACGCGTGCATACCAGTGTCAACAACAAGACGACAAGCTCTCATAATCTCATGCGACAAACGCCCAAACCTGACGAAAACAATTACTTATCAAACATGTCCGTTACAAGAAACGGATATCCTGAGTTACGATTTTCTAGATTTATTTGTACTTACAGATCGTAAGGATCTGTGTAAAGACCCATCTCTTCACCAAGGAATTCACAGTACAAACCCCAGCCCTACAAACAAAACGCACAGTTTACCTAAAAGCATGTAATTTATAGAAGGCACCCGATATAACTAAAGTGGTTTGTTACCTCTATATAAGCGGTATTCATACCAAATCTTGCTGGGGCTTCGTAGTAACGACGATCTTCAAAGTTTCTAAAACCTGGCTGTTCAGGTTGCTCGATACTATACGCCGCCTAGTAAGAACAAATATAACAACAACAACAACAACAATAACGCCACCAATTCATTAAGATGACTCTAAATATAACAAAAATTTTATTCATGAAATCATAGTTAATATTAACTATGATGAAATACAGTGCAACACGACTCATRTTGTATGACAATGGTTATAATAAGGATAATGGTGATGCAGTTATACCAGATATAAAAGTACCATTACCTGTAAATGGTGTCCAGGTACAGCTTCATGCAAAGACAATGAAACCATCTCATAGCTTGGTCTGTAATAATGTCATGTTAATAAGATATTCCACACATTTATGGATTTATTTCAACACAATACCTCTCTTCACTCTTGTAAGTATTCACAAAGAATGATCCTGGTCTGGAACCATCTTCTGGGGGCGCAATATAGAATGCACCAGGTGCCGAGGGGGCCGCCTCAGCTGGCGTTTCAATGATCCTATTGACATAAGAAAGATCCTACTTAGAAATGTGTTAAAATAACTGTTATTTGACTACACACACTATATGCGTATCMAAAAAAGAAAAATTAATGGTTACTAGCTTGATTACTTCAGCCTCAGCTGAGTTGACTGGATTATAGCAAATTCCTTTCTTTTGTGATATCAYAGTGGACTCACTCAAACTCTGCCTTTGGAACTGTCTTGAAATAATCCTTAAGCATTGGTTGTATTTGGTTGTAACATAAATCCTTGTACCTTGCCAGTAAGTCTTCCTGGAATGTAGAAAATCAAATAAATGAATAAAAGGGAAGAGAAATAGAGATGGTTGAATGAAACATGGGCCAAGACTGGTCATGAACCTTTTTCTCAAAGTAGAAGCGTTTGTCATTTCTTAACATGGTCACAAACTCATCTAATCCACCCTGAAATCCTGTTTGTTTTGCAACCTGAATGATAATAATACAATTATTACGTCAATAAATGAAAAAATACCAAGAGAATATTGTTTAAGATATTAGCACTCTTGTCATGTTGTAACATAATCAAAAAAGGTATTCTTCATAAAGATATTCAATAATGTCAGTGATAATCATTCAGTTCCATGCATTACCAGGKTCATCCTTTCTCKTATTCTTGCAACTTCTTTAATGCCAATGTCATGCACTTGTTGAGGAGTCAAATCACATGTAATATGAAACTCAAGAGCCTTTTGATAAAAGTCTTTTCCATTTGGAAATTCTTGACATGAAATAGTGTCTCTGGCTGCGGGGATGTATTCCTGTTTCAGTTGAGCAAAAAACAGAGCTGACTTTTTTGTGTTTTACCTCAAGTAGATTAACACACACTGACTAACCTTTGTCAAAAAATCTTTTAAATCTTTAAAAGAGCTTTTTATTTTGCTTTCAATAAGAGAACACTTCTCTTTTATGCATTTCCTAACAAAATAGTATTTTATGAAATAAGCTTTCCTTAGCCTCCTTCGCAGGCTACTCCATCGGAAACAGACATTTTTCTCTTCTTGGTCTTCCTGTGTTCATAATCTTGACCGAGAAGAACTACTTTTCCTTCCTTCCTAGCCCCCTCCCCCTCTGGCAGCTTTTTTGCCTTAACACAGGAACCCCACGGAGTAGAGTTGCCTGCGAAGGAGGCTAAGCTTTCCCAACACTTGCTCTGTAGCATGTTGAACCTCCTTAAAAAGGAGGACCCCATATGCTAATTACAAAACAGAATGCAAACTGATACCTTTGATCATCTGTAAAAGATTGAGGGATGTTCTTGAAGGGAGCATAAAGTTTAGAATCTCCATCTATGCTGGCATTCATAATACAACTTTCAATCTGCTCTGGTATATTGGTCTATTTCATGCAACAAATCGCATTAACATTGAATCAAAATGATTGATGAATATAAAAGAAATAAAACCAGATAACACAACTTACCACAGTGATCTTTGGAGGAATGTAACCAGTCTCAATACCTTTTTTCAAAAGACCAATATACTCTGACATCTACAATAACAAAAATGACAGAGTATACTACAGTATTATACTAATATTAATTATTAAAATTTATGTTTAGAGCAATAGCCATCATTCAATGTGCATCAATTCTATTGGCTACTGGCCATTTTAGCCCCTTATTACTTCGACCTACACTAAACACTACCACTATTTCCTTAAAAAAATGCTAAAATAACTTTGAATATTATACAAACTACTATATATCCTTGATTTTCACCTGTTTTGGAAAAGCATCCAGCCTGGAAAAGAGCTTGTTGTAGTCTTCCATAGAATTGAACTTCATCCAGGAAATTGTCCTTGAGAACTCTAACTGTGGTCCTTCGAGGTTGTTTAATGGAAGCAGATAACTGGTAAAGATATGGGCAAGAGTGACAGCTGTCATTCAAACTAACATTGTGTGATTTCTYGAGCAATATTGTGTGACAGATCAAGGGACATTGTGTGACATATGGAGTGACATTGTATGTCATATAGAGTGACACTGTGTGAGAGACATGTAGTGATACAACTCTGCAAGGAGTCAAGACTGACAATAGGGCAAAGTTATAGCAATTTGATTGAACAGATGCCTGTGGAATGGCAGTACACAGTCAGACAGACAGACGAAAGTGATAAGTGGAAAGTTACACAAAATGTGCAGATCAGTTGACTATTACCTAAAATGCTTTGATCCATCAAGAAAACCTTTGATATCTTTCTTTAGAAGAGTAACATTGAAGTGATCTTCCTGTGTAAGCATATTAAGACATCAGATCAACTGACATCTTTCACTCAACAAGATGCTTTCATTGATTGTTTCCATTCAAATGATAAACTTTGAGCTTGGAATACTCCAAACATTTCTAATCAAACCCCCAAGATCAATGACAGTATAGAATTAACCAGCCTTTACCTTTGATAACTCATTTGTATTCAAATCATTTAGTTGTTTTAGAAATGCCTTGCATTCTTCCTGAAGTAAAAATATGTTTTGAACTGCGTTCATTAAAAGGTACAAATAAATAAATATATCTGTAAATACAGCCTTTTGCAAAAATTATGAGAATTGTCTAAATATCTAAATATCATAATATCCATATCCATATATTGTCCRGAACACGCAGGTTTGCTAGAATAATTCATTGTTGACATCGAGAAAATGTTCAGAACTAMGGATAWGTCTGTCGCAAAAAAAMMMCTAAACTACAAAGACAAGGGAYTAAGGGCATCGCGYGGGATTACCCATCATGCACTTGATATTATGATATTTAGATATTTCRACAATTCTCATAATTTGTAAGGCTGTATTGATGGATAGATAACATAATGCATAGATGAAACAAATGATATCAGTAGATAAATGGATTAAATCATTTAGTTGATATGCTTAAATTTTATTGATATAAAACAGTAAGCTTACTTAAATGCAACTACAGCAATATGCCACATTATTATTCACCAATGTTGTTTTAATGACCTTTGRCGACCTATGGCCCTTGCTTGCTGCAATTTTTTTAAGTAAACAAAACRATAGAGCAAAGTCCTCACAGCTGGTGATGCTAAATATACAACACTCAAAGTGCTTATTACAAAAATTGAAAGTTTCTTTACTGATAAACAAAGAAATAAGCTATTGATTTTTGTGAAAGAATCAATAAATTTCTYRGTGTAAACTTCAATATAAAACAGCTGTTTCAGTGTGTCCCAAACTAGGATAATGTGAAGAGAATCTAATATTCCGTTTATAYTGATGATGTKGTAAATATTGAGTCTTTACCTGGCGTGTTTGGTAGGMTTCTAACGCGTGACTATCAAGACTGTCGTCATGTTCATGATGTCCAATCATGGTAGCAAATTCTGGACTGTTAGCAAGACGCCACTCCCAAAACTTCTCCAAAATAGATTTGACCTCAGTACTCATGACTTGTCTCTTTTCCTTATAAACAATAATAATTAGAAATTCACCTGMAACGRCCAAATACGACTATATTGCTTACCGCGACGAGAAAAAGTTTTCAAAACGTACGTAAAAATATCAACTTAYTCGAATTTTGTTAAATATTGCCAGGCGTTACAACASGGAGAAGATTGAGACTGGTACAGAAAAAGCCTGAAAGGAACCTTGGGAACAAAATCTACATATTGCTCAAGTAGTATTCGAACGATGGCAAGTTTGGTTATGAACGGAGTCGAAACAATGGCAAATGGAAAGGAAAATGGTGTCTCCTCGCTGTCAGAACCGTTGCACTTTGCAAAGAAGCTATTRATTCATGGCGGGAATATTGCCAACTGGAATCGCACCAAGAGAAAGATGACTACGAGCTCGGCAGACGAGGTAACCTTTTGTCAACACTGCACTGCAAACGTAAACACGCGATTGATTCACTAGATAGAAATCCTGGGTCACGATTTATAAATGATTACATAAAAATCTTTTAAATTTTACCAGGGAAATGAGTGTTTCTTGAACAAAACGATGAAACTCATACAGTCATATCGACTAAAATATTAGTGAAACTATTTTTGCTTAATTAATGATGTAAGCACCAAAATTATTGTTGAAACATTGTCAGAATTGGTTGATCCCACTCTTTAGGCTGTGTATCATTGAACGTTTTTGCCTCTTAATTATGATTTGCTTTTCAAGTATACCGCTACCGGAWGCACGGTATAGTCGATGAAAACGGTGATGGTAGATTGTAAGAGTTTTGTTGTCCAGCAGAGCTCTCGGAGGAGCAGTTCTATAGGATGAAACTTAAGTGCTAACCAAATATTTATCCAATAGTCAAATATATTGAGCTACACTCTTTTATTATGGTGCATATCGTTTTATCATATTTCTAGTTTCTAGTGTTGTTTGTTAAGTCTGATAAGGTGAGAAMATCTTGTGCAATCTAATTGATTCGCAGCTGATCTATTGGCGGTTTCTCTATTGTTTTCTAGAGCTTTGCGTGAAAAACATGCTTCCAATAAAGGATTTAGTAAATAATAGATATCATGTAGCAATTTAAATTTTACGAATGCCCAACTATTAGTGGCTAGAAGATAATTCACCACTCGAGATATAATGTATGATAGCTTCAAGTACTCAACAACAATAATATTTGATAAAGCACTGCTTAGTAATTGATATTTTTTTTATAGTATCAATGTCTTTTCTAGATATCTTTCTTTACCATTCATTTGCATAAAAGCTTTGATTTGCATTACAGTAAACGTTTTGTATTCTGAATTACTGCTGGGGCAAAATGATGCTAATGTTACTGTACAGCAAAGCATCATGACTCAGCATACTTTGCAACTTAGGATCTGTKTAGACATAACCCTCGATATTCTAAGAAATGAAGCAAAGAATGGTTGCTTTGAGGACACACCAAGTTATGCCATAATTTGAGAACTTGTTTGACCATAAATTACATTAAATACATTGAATTTCTTGAATTTTCAATGAATGAATTTTTCAAGACAAGTTGACAGTGCATTCAAAACCCTACTTAGACACCTGTGTTTTGCATTCTTATTCTTGAAACCTTGATTTATGAACACAGACAATATTCAATATTAAAGATTCCTGATAATAAGTAACTAGTGATGATTTTGTCATCATTGTTACATGTAGAACAAAATACTCTTTCAATATTTTATACCATTGCAATATTAATTCTTCATTTCAGCTGAGTGAAAATATCACAACAACTTTGCAAAGCTGTCTTCCTACGATGGACAACAACATGAACAGCAAGCAGCATGTAAGTTATATATAAAGAACAATAACTTTTTTTTTTTCATGGTTTAGCAAATGACGAGGCTTTGTCTTGGCTAGCTGGATACCAAATGTTTTAAATTCCTTGTAAAGGAGATAGTGAGTTTCTGATAAATAAAAATTRCTTGAAAGGTACATTAAATTGAAAGGACCTGTTTATATCTGTGCAGCACTTGAATTTCAATCAGAATTAATCTCTACATTGGCATATACCTTAAAACCAGGAAATTCTTAGTCTTGATGATGTTATCTAAATTAATTCTTTGTTTTCTGCAAAACCTATACTTATGATACAGTCTTTAATGTCTGGAGTTTATAAATTCAATCTATTGTCAGAATATTTTGAAAATGGTGGAGATTGTGTCAATCCTTTYTAATCAAGATGGATATCATGCATTTCTGCTTGTATGAAGGGGTTTTCAATAATAGTATCAAGTTAGATTGATCCAAATCATGACATTATTTCTCATGTCATCAAGAGTACAGTTTTATTAATATCACTACATGAATGGAGGCGCATCAAGTGGTATACTGTACTATTTCTGAAAAGAATAATAAAATTGTCTAAAAAAAACAATTATTTTATGTTGAATAACCTTCAGAGTGAAACCATAAGAAGTGTAAACAGTTCTTTCATTGAGCGAATACAGCAAGACGAACGAGTTCATCTAAAAATCTCAGGTACAATATAACATTAAATCTGCATGAGATAAAAATAGAATGTTCTTTAATTATTCATAGCATTGCTAACTCACAAATTCATGKTAACTGCATGTAATCTCTTCTGTTCTTTCATAAAGTTTGCCTAATTTATCCTTTTGAACATTCTCTCTGTACATGGCTGAAATTATTCTTCCAGCTTAACTTTCTTTGGAAAATATATTTTGACTTTTGTTTTTAATTAAAAATTCTGAGAATCCGGAAAATATAYGTTAGAAATCTTTTACACAAGAGGTCAATGTAAATTATGATTAATTCATAGTTTCTTCATGCTTATATTTTGCTACTGTTGCCTCATCAATCATAGAGCGGATTTCGTATGACTGTGCAAAAAACACCCGSTACTTTTGCRCTATGACCATACTGTGCCATAGCGGTGATGTATTGTTAAATCTTTATTTTTATTTGGAATCCTAGAAGGTSAGTTTCTGTGACCGYRCCGTGCYGTGTCTGTGTTGTGATCMATGCCGTTGCACAACCATACGAAATTCGATCTATTTCAGTATTGTTATAAGTCAGTAATTTTTAAATTGTTTTTGTTTTCAGTCAAGATTTTTGCATTCCAAGCAACACCTTCTATGGTCAAAGATTCATTTTTCAGAGGTAAAATTTACAATAATGTTAAATATTTTCTTTTGTATTCTTCACAAAATACAAATTGATGATCATAACACTCTGAAAGACCTTAATGGTCCAGTGGTTAAGGCATTATGAATGGGTTCAAGTTATTTGGTCTACTAGTCATGCAAACTAATTTGCACRGACCCAAAACTGGAGCATCATGTTTCTCTCAAAATTAGATTCAAGAGATGTTTATTAATTTTTGTAGCTATTTGTGAGCTTGGTGTGGATTCAATTGAGACACTGCTTATAAGTGTTCCAGAAAACCAGGACAACGGAGAAAGATCRTTGAAGGAGCTCAGAATGTTGTGGCAGGTAATAATGAGAATATTATTTTCTTGAGAATTTGAAATGGACCTGGTAGTCTCTGACGGCAAGAAGTCTAATTGCTTTGATTCATGAGATCCTCATTGTATTGCAAGACTGGGTTTATTGTAATGTAGTTTTAATTAAAATATTGGCCGTATTTCCAGGAAATGGAAGAACTTTRTGACAGTGGTTACGTCAGTACTCTTGGAACATGCGACCTGGACAAACACACATTGGAACAGCTGTATGAAACAGCAAGGGTAAATTTTACAAATAATTGCTTGTGTGTTCAGCAAAACAAGGTTCGARCATGCTGGCAAGTAAACATCATTTTAATACTTGATACACCAGATATTAATTTTCTGGTATASTGATAATACCTTACGTACATGTAATGTACATCTTGCATGCAGTGTCAGAGCAGCTTTATCTGGGAGAAATGTAGAAGTCATTCACCATTGCTTTGTCTCCCAGATGGAGCTGGGCATTTCTCTGAACAGCAAGGAGTGTAAATACATAAAATGTCTGCATGTCATAATTATTGTTCCATGTTTACAAGTACATGTATATTWTTACAGATCAAGCCAGAGATAAACCAAGTGAACTTGGCGTCATGTTGCGTCATGCCAAAGGTGATATGGACTGCTCTTTATGATATGATATTACAATAATAATAATGATTAATCAGCCCATACAACHATGCAATGTGTGGTATTCATGTTTATTTGTTATTTGTTTAGGATTTGGTGGAGTTCAGCAAGCTGTCTGACATACAACTGTTAACTCATGCAGACCCTAAAGGTRCAAACTGCTTGTTGCTCAATTATTACTGCATTAGATATGCCGTCAACATGTAAAAGTTCCGTTTGTAAAATATACTTACTGGCATGACTTTAATAATAATGAATAATAATGATTTAATAATTTCTAATAGAAATGCTGACAGAACAGAGACTTCATGACATTATTTCTAATGTCACTGAAGATGAAAATGTTGACAGCTGGAAACCCATCTGGGCACTGCGGTACTCAGTCCTGGTCAAGTGCCGTGGTGTCATTAAAAGCAAAGCGTAAGTATCACAGATTTGCTTGTCATTTTTTGTGAATTATTATTAATATATAGCTCTTTGACATACGCATTGAATGTACATTTGAAATTAGATTCAGTATTTGATGTTTTTCTCTGTACAGGTACATTGTTAAATGTGAGAGAAGAGATCAAAACTCCCTGCAATGATGAATTACTGCTACAAGAAGAAGATGTACAAAATTATAAATAGAATACTAGGTAAATTTGTAATCAACTGACCCAATAGTCCAAACAATAACCTCAATTTTCTATACGTACATTACATAAACCACCAGCATATAAAATAATATCATTTCATAGAATTACGTTAGATGTATAGAACTCAAAGAGTGGAAATAATATACCGTTACACATCGACCAAGTGGTGCTAATTTCACCAGTATGTGGACTGTAAGACATCCACAAGTAGTATTATTTCCAGAGCATTTTCTGTTGTATAATTATTATTGAATTGTGCTAATTAGTAGCACATGTTTGAAGGGTTGATTGCAGTCACTCTATGGTACGTGCAGCTCTTACGTCACACATCAAATGCGTCAACTTACATTCATTAAAACAACTTGCTACCAAAAAATTAAAGCAATATATATATATAAACGATTACTGGAACTGAGCATGGAGTTCAACAGGAAGTCAGTACTTTCCTGTAAAAAGAAAAAGTTGAATATGTACTTCTAGTAACTATGACAACACCCTCAGTAGACCTCTGTCAAGGCTGAGCTTGTTTTAGACAAAATTAGGCCTGGAATAGTAAAATTTCAGTGTTGATTGATGATTATATATCATAGATTTTGATTGGTTGTTGAAGCAATCATTAGTTTTGTTCAAATGTAATTGGTTAAAATTTTCCATAATGCCCATAATAGATTGTAGAGTTCAAACTCTAAAATCATGAAAAACCTTAGTAATTAAATAGTGCTAAATTGTAGGGAATGATAGGAATTCTTTGTTTTCTATTGTTTTATCTACTATTATCACTGTTTAGTTAGTACATTTTTACGTTTTAGAGTTTCACTCTAGTAGCCAGTATTTGATTGGTTGATTTAACTTGTCTGTTGATTGGTAGTAATCAGACAAATCTTATATACGTATTCAATTTAAACTAGCATAATGTGTAGAATACTGATTATTTGTACATACATTCAATCTGAAATTTCACATGTAATACCATTGTAATTTTGATATACATATTTTATTTTAATGTTTTCAGTTCTACCAAGTACATTTTTTGTTTTCCTAAATTTTGTTAATTAATTTTGATCCTTAGTGATAATAATAAACATTAATATCTTCCCAATACTTTGCAAACTTATGATAACTAAGACAAGTGTACAATCAGGAAGAGTAATGCTCTCATATCGTTTAATGCTTTATCAGTGCCCCATTTCCACAATATCTTAAATATTTAAAACGTATTTTTCGCAAATTATATATAAAAAAATCCCCGCATTGACGAACTAGTATTTGACCCCTAAAGAAGCAGCAATTTCCTTGCCAGTTGAAACACACATCCTTTATTACTGGGTGTCTTGTGGCATTTGTTGGGTGACCTCCCAGGAGCCAGCCAGGGGCGTGGGTTCCACAGTGAAAGACAGGTACACATCGGTCGGCCATTTTATTTCCTGGAATGGTTTTTATATGAAAATAAATGTGGATATAACACCATGGGTGTAGGCAGACCCTCCCTTTCTACCGGTACACATACCTGCGCCTTCGTTAAAACGATACCAGTTTGTCTGTAGAGTGTGATCACCTTTCTTTTCGGAAGGATTGTAAAACGAAGCACCTCTGTCAATCTCAACTAAAGTTTTGTAATTGGAACATTCATCTGTGAAAATGAATCACATATGTATTTATTTAACGTTGATTCTGTTGTCAGACCGTTGATTGACATTTGCGTCATATACCTGGTTCAGGTTCTTCTGTCGGAAATGGTTCGGCTGTCGTGGTATTTTCGGGCTCAGTCCGAAGTGTTCCGGTTGTCGTAGTGCTTTCCGTAAGTCGTTTAGATGTACTGATATTATGAAGCAAAGGTGGAAAGGGTGGCAATGTGCTTGGTTCGGCTGTCGTAACATTCCCGGGTTCTATCGGAAATGGTTCGGCTGTAGAGACAGGTTGAGGTATTGGTTTAGGTGTGGTGGTCTGTTCAGGTACAGTCGGTGTCATCGTAGTAGTGATTCTAGCTTGGCCACCACAATAACGGAACGGACAAGGAACCTTGACCAAATAGTAAACATAAAAAATGCCACAGTTCCTCACTACAATATCAACCGAAGCTTGACAGCATTTGTTTTCTGCGTGAAAACATACTTTTCTCTGCACTCGGCCATCTCTTATCGACGGAAGCTCACCATCCATCCACCCCGGACTCATTGAGCTACAGTAAAGATCCTCTCCTCGAAATATGGGACACTTGGTAGTCATTTGGTCGCCGGCTGACTGTGTAAAGCGATACCATCCAGACGGTAGCCTAGCGTCACATAATTGACTAGCATCAAGATCTCTGTAGTTAATAGATCGTGTAGGAGATGATATTTTAGTGTAATAGATGCACTCCCTGGGAAGAAACAGTTCTGTGGGAAGAATATTGCTTTTAGTAATGGTTTTAAAAGCATCCTCGAAATCATCAAAAACGCACTATGAATAGATCTTGTAGTCTAAAGTTATAATCATTTCCAGTGTGTCTGGATTAGGACACTTTGTTCATTTGTCATATAACATCACGTCATGATTATTTACCATTCAAAAAGCAGATTAGAGTTGTCACACTTCAAAGACTCAAAGAGTTTTTCGGTTGAGTTTACGCATGACGGAACTCGGCGCGCGCGCTCTAGGTAGTGTCTGCAATGTTGGTTTTACTAAAACAAAATCGAGAAAACTGTGAAAYTTATCAGAAAAATGACATATGTTTTATGTCCTATGAACTCCATGGTGTCCAAGGGAAACTGTTTTGCAAGAAATGGTTGTGATTCAAATCTATTCAGAAGGACGTCGACGACCGCCCAATGACAACGTTTTTCGCGGTTCAGCTAATTTTCACTCAGAATAATTATGTAAATTGGCAATCTTCCGCCAAAACTGGATGAACTTTTTAATGTGCCAAAACAAAAACGAAAAGAAAATCTAAAAACTTGGCGAGCTTAACGTGTGAACTGATTTGCAGTCTGATGGTGTGGAGTCCACACTCAGTCTGCAGTCCAGATGACCATGCAAGAAAACAAGAAGTACATATGTATAAAACTTCATTGTTTTATAAAATTGCTTTAGGTAGGTTTTTAAAAACAGCATTATATTTTTCCGTTTAATGTCTAACTGCTGTTGTTCGTTTTGTTATCATAAAACAACAAATAAGCAAAAATAACGGATAATTAACGGATGATTGTATTAATATAATTAATAATATTTCTCATCAAGGAATTCTACTTACTCTCTAGTATTTTCTCCAAGACTGGCCATTTGTCTTGAATGTCTTTCTTCTCGATTCCCAGGCTGTCTGAGCTGACTTTTAAAGCCATGATTAAGAGCAGTAACAGTGAAGTCCTTGCCATCATCCGTCACAACGCGCTATGAGCACGACAAACCTGACATGATATGTGTCGTTAACCCGTGTCAACCGATGTTTACCGCCGATTTTAATCATTGTGCATTTCGTGTTAGTAAGCTATGCGTATATTAATATCATTAGAAGGCAGTGACCGGAACAGTTACTCTACCAGTGATGTAGAATACATTTACGTACATTACATAGGTTTCTTTCAGCAGTAGACAATACTTCTTTCAAGGAGATCATTTCCATTATTTTTGTGTAAATAAAAGTTTTTCCTATTTCAAGAATACCGCTATACTATAATTTTCAACAAAACTTTTAAACATTACCCACATGGTTCCCATAATACTTGTATCAATAAGCCAAGCCAGTGAGGTAAACAAAAATAATCTTTTATTAAGCACATATACAACTTAATTATCAACTCTAATCGATACTCTATTACTTAAAATCAATTCCACTACACTGAAAAAAAATCGCGCGCTTTAAAGGTTGTAAAGCAAAACGAAACGATGAATTTTGACTTCACTACTCACTGAAAAAAAATCGCGCGCTTTAAAGGTTGTAAATTTGATGTAAATATGATGTAAGTTTCCAAAGTTCTGTAAATTTGGTGTAAATGATTTCCATTAAATTTACAGAATTTTGGTCACTTACATCATATTTATATCAAATTTACAACCTTTAATCCAGTGCTAGTACATAAATTTCGTTATACTAAAATTTTGTAAAAAATGAAAATCTTCTATCTAACCTATCACCATTGTCCTATACGTCCTTGACCATGTCTTTCATGTTGAGGAGGGGCCGCCATTTCGCGTCGAGTATTCCTCCTCATGTATGAGCACCTGAAMGGAAATTCAAACGGCGACGAACGAATAACTCTTTTCCTAAAACCACTCAAATCAACTATAACTTTATTGGTAAACGTTAAAGAATCGGCCATGTGCCTGCGTTTAGTTCCRCAAGAGTTCAGTGGTGTTCCAAGAAGGACATGCCTTCTGGATTCTCTGACGACGCCACATGATGGATCATTTAAGTGTAGAGAGTCTGGGTGAACGTCATGTGATGTCATATCCTGGAGATGCCTCTTGGAAATTCTAATGTACATTGCACGTGGCAGACAGATGATGGCGAAACCACTTAATGCTGCTGCAAAAAAGCAACACAGTTGACTATAATTAGAATAGATTTTGGTAGGTTAATTATTTAAATGCTCAGGTAGTATGGCAACAATTATTGCAGAATTCAAGAAGACATGGACTGGTAAGTAAAGCGTCAGGAAAATGACTTGTTCGGTCTTATCAACTGCCTTGAACTAGTGCAAGCGCATGACTGATCTTAGCATAACTGCGTCATGCAAGACTAAGATGTGCTATGCAGGTTGTGTAATTTCTTCAAGGTTTCAGGAAGAGGTCATTGAATTATTGCGTCTAAAGCAATTTTACCTTAGCATTACCTTAGATCTTACTAGCATAACTGCGTCATGCAAGGCTAAGGTGTGCTATGCAAGTTGTATTATTTATTCAAGGTTTCAGGTGAAGAGGCTATTGAATTATTTGCGTCTAATTTACCTGGTGGTGGTGCAGTTGTCGGTTGGTCGATAACTTTTGGCTGACAAATAACACCCGCATCCTCAAAGTGTCGACAATTACTATTACCCCACCCCTGATGGGAACATTCTTCAATGGACTGCTCATGACCAAGACAACGAACGTTATCCAACCAAATTGGTCCAGTACCTTGACCAAATGATGCCTCTCTGGTAGCCATTACAGCACCAGGGTATCCAAGCATACGACAAATAACAGCAGCGTCCGTCTTGGACCATAAATCATCACATACTGTACCCCATAACCCATTATGACGCACTTCAACGCGCCCCTCGTGTGGGGCACGCCCATTAGCAAGACGAACTGGTAGGACTGAATGCAAAAAGAAAAGAAATTAGATTTTAGTACCTGACAATATGTCGGTATTATATGTAATAATACATGATTCAAAATGAAAGCATTTTATGACAAGTAATATCTGTGCATATATGATGTTACCTGGTGTTGTTGTGTGAAGCGAACGACATTTAACACCAGCATCTTCAGCATGAATACAATCATGTACTCCCCAGCCAGGATGACGACAYTTGTCGATACTTGATTCATCACCGATGCAGTTCACATCATCAAGCCATATGGGACCTCGTCCTTCACCGAAAAAGCCCCCATGGAAATCGGCTACAGCACCTACAAAGATCATAACAAAAATTTATAAAGGACTGGATGTCAGGATAATATCTTCCCGGAGGTGTGTGTTAGGTCGCATGAAAATACACCATCGCATGATGAGCACACAGGGTGGATTKATAGTGTGTACCTGGATAGCCAAGCATTTTACACACAACCATTGCTTCTCGAAGGTCCCAAAGGTTGTCACAGATAGTCCCCCACTGACCATTATAACGTATTTCAACACGGCCCTCGCTTGGTAATGCTCCATCCACAAGACGTATCGCTACACCTGAACTGGGTGTAGTGCCTGCTAATGTCAATAGAATGGTTAAATAGGAAAAMGAACAGAGGTAAGAAATCACAACAAATGAGCGATAAAGACTAGTAAATGGGATGAGGGAATGAATGGAAAAGTAATGAATGAATGAATGGATATATGGCGGATGGATAATGAGATAAAAAATATTGAGTATATAGATTAATAGACTTACCCTTTATAGTTGTTGGTTCAGTCGTCGGYGCGGTGGTTGTTGGTTGTCGTGTTGTTGTAGGTGGTGTTGTAGTAGGTAATGTAGTTGATGGCGTCGTGGTTTGTTTTGTACTAGGTGTTGTTGATTCTTTGGTAGTTGGATGTGTTGTAGCTAAAGTCGTTGATAAACCTGTTGAATAATGGGGCAGATAATTGTAATATAAACAGTATTTCATTCATATACAGCATAATAAATAGGCAATCGATGACTGCATGTGACTCAGGCYATTAAGAGATTTAGTWAATTTCGAGTTTGCTTCGTTACAAAATGRCAATTCTAAATTTAAAGAAAGCTCCTTTTGAATGGCGAACGGTGATAGAAAAAACCACAATGCATTTCGCTCTTGGAATACACTATCTTTAATTAGCTGTATACTCTGCAAAAAACTAAAACATTAAGTTGTGATCAAGCATTACGTTGCCTACTATGAATACACACCAGGCGGCGATTCCCAGGGGGCAAGGAACCTTGGAACCTATTGTTATGGTTAATGATTCCTCCCGTGGGGGCCTGACGCGGGGCACCCTGTTGTCTAATAAACATATCCGTCTGAAAGTTTCGGGGAAAAGGAATTAATATCCAGGACATGGAATCCTTAGAGCTTTGATTTAGCCTGCTATAAATTCTCGAACGTTTCGTTCAATAAAATGTTTTTATTATTTAAACTGTATTTTTACATCCATGTGAATTTCTCTTATTCGCCTGATTATAGTTTTGAAATAAAACCCAAAGATTGCTAAGTTTTTCTTCAGTCTTCATCAATTCTATACGGATTGTCATTCACGTTCAACCTCTTCAATTGTTAACATTCACTATATTTAGATTTTAAAGTTATTTGATAATCACTATTAATCCATTTGTTAACGTTCATATCATCAAGAACGAAAATGTGGAACGTTCGCGTGTCATGTTGAAGTTTCAAAGTCTTCAATTGTGTGCCATTGGCATTGCGAATCCCGGCTTTTTTTCGCAACAGCTAGTATCTGCCTGGTTCAATCCTGGTCTGTAAACCACTAACGTTAAGAATTTCAAGAGAATTTTGTTGTACTTTAATACTAGTAATGTCTGTCTGATATGAGAACTGTACACATTTTTCTGTGACGAATTGCAAAACAATAACGCCACATTACAGCGAGTACCCCTGAGTAAATCGCTATTCGGGCGTAAACAAGCACTCAGCACCCATCCCCACCCCCCATCAAATAATAAATCCACTGAAGGATGATTATGCAAACCSTGTRTCTTTTGCTAATTCCTGAGCTAAGCTCTGATTGGCCCGCTGCTCCCTAAGGATTTTGGTGACGTCATATATTAGCATAGAACTTCACCGAATAGACTACCCCAATTAGATATTAGATATCTATAAGTGTCTTCATAGTACGATGGTCTAAGAGGGTAGCTAAAGGTATGCTCTAGTGGGCGGCTACCCCCTCACTCCCTGGCCTTTTGGTTAAGACTAAGTTTTATGTTCACTTCGGGATAGCGTGGAAGAGCCGAAATCTCTAACCGTAACGTAAGCCGATTCGCCGCCTCAGCTTCATAGAATGTCTCGGGGGAATCGTCCCATCTTTTTAGTTTTTTTATTTTTAATATTTTTATGTATTCCGGGGGGGTCATTTTTTCCTAAAGTGAAAGTCCTGAGTTCGAACCCTGCTGCTGGGATTTCTCTTTTTTCTTGTTGAATGTTTCTTTTTTTTCTTTTTTTTTTGGTTTCCTGTTTTCTTTTCTTCTTTCTATTTTTTTTTTCATTTTCGTTTTCTTTTTTCGTTTGCTGTTGTTGTTTTTTYCTCTATAGATTTTCTCTTTTTAACTTAAATATATCAAGGACTCGCAAGGAACGCCTGCTACAAGTGGATGRTACGGTTCGGTCACTCAACACGATGACATCGTGACGAGAGGCCCCATGAGGCCTATCATCACAAAAATTGTTTATTAAAATAATGATTCATGCGTATTTGATAAATTACTTACCAAGATCACATGTTTTTTTGTCAGCCAATAGTTTTACTCCATTTGGACAACCACAGTCACGTGATTGTAAGCCAGTTGTGAAGCAAAGATGACTGCAATCTCCATTATTGACAGCACAGAGAGAATCAACTGYAAGCGAACACACGATTGCAATCACAAGTTATAAATCAAAATTTACAATTTAATTTTAAAGATGTATTAATCACATTGCATTAGATTAATTCTAGAGATTAATGAAATCATGTAATGCGGATGACGAACATGACTAGTACCTTGTGGTTGCCTGGAAACGTCCGCTACTGCCACGCCCGCAATCCTATCTGAAGTAAGAATCCCATAATTCCCTAGTCTTTTCCCTGTCTGGAYATTTATTTTCTCAACAGATCTTGTTCCCCAGTCACTCCAGAACAAAGATGAACCATACATCGCTAAGTCGAACGGTTGGATGGCACGGTCGGTATATAAGATACGTCTTTCAGAGCCATCGTAGTTCATTGACTCAATACGATGAAAATGCGACTCACTGAAATAGACTTTTCTAGAGCTATAGTCCAAGACCAATCCGTTTGGCCAGTGAATGTTCGTTGAAATAAGAACTTGTCTGTGTTGACCAGACAGTGATGCACGCTCAATGCAGGGTCTGAGCTCACTCCAGTCTGTCCAGAACATATACCTACACAAACAAACTTTATATATAAGAAATTGTACTTGAATACTTAACTCGCTAAGTGGTTTGATCGAATATAGCTATGCTTTCCATAGATTTAGTAGGATTTCAGCCGATCAATCCGCAAGAATCGATTCGCCCCTAATTTACTGACCCTGTTGGTTACTCACCCATATTTAGGATCAACTGCAATAGCTCTAGGTTTTRCCAAGCCATCATTGATAAGCATCCGTCTTGATGATCCATCAGTCTTTGCAACTTCGATTCTCTTATTATTTCTATCAGTCCAATAAATCAATCTGCTAATCCATTCTATCGCTATACCTTCATAACGTCCATTCTCTCCACCAATCACAACCTCGGAAACTCCATTCACGAGATTGGTTCTCATGATCTCATGCTTSGTCTTGTCACTCCAGTAAATGGCTCTCGTTGSCATATCAACTTCAACAGGAGTGACGTGTGATAATGACGTCATGCCAGGGACTTTACGTGACGTCATAAGTTCAATCCCGTTGATTTCATGAAGCGAGCCGTACATCAGACAGGGTGGTTTGCAGTCGAAGGAAAATGATCCTAGTGATAGAAGACAAAACGGAAAAACTCATTAGACAACAGGGACATCGTACTAAATAGATATAAAATACCAACTTTATTTTTTCAGTCATCAGCAACTCTAACGCCTTGCGCTGATGACGTCACGTCGGCCATGTTGGTGGTTCATTTTCAAATGAATTCGAAACCTTATTCTATTCAAGAACATGGCCGGCAGTCTTTTATCATCAAAAGAGATTGCATAAGAGCAGTGGCTACTATAGATCAAACACTCACTTTTCACGGGTCGTGTTTCCTTGTTGCAAAGTCCATCATCACAACATTCGATCGAACAATGGGCAGATTCTTTAGAGCCCGCTTTGCATGCTGGATAATGCTCTTTATAACATCGCTTGCTTTGGACACACCCTTTGTAGTATTCTGTTATTGGGACGATCTCACCGTCGATTGTTATTGTTGCAGTAATGCAGTGCGTCATGTCAGCGGGGCAATCAATGAGAACCTGATTCTTTTCACACATTTCCCATGATTCCGTGCTGGCACAAGTGTAGCAACTGAGTTGCTTGGCATCTTAACAGAATCAAGGGTTAAATATTGATTAGATCGAAGAAAAAACGCCGAAAATGGTGTAAAACAGTTATTGTTTGTCGTATTGCAAGATATGCATTACCTGACTTTTTCTTTTTGCTATCAACAATTTCTGTTAGCAAACGATCAAGCTCTGAAATAAAATAATTTTTGTGTTAAAATTAACTTTAACTCGTTTAGCCAACACTATTTTCGATAGTTACATGTYCTACTTGTTACATTCTTGCTCAAAAAAATGTTACAGATGCATATAGTATATACAAGGACATAGTGTCGTCAAGCGCAACAAATGACGTCACTCACCTTGCTCTTCCGTCACGTCACGTGATGAAACGTCATTTTGGGATGTCATATCATATTTTGATCCTGTGAATTAACATTTGCAAAATCAATCTCGTACCCAGCGCCCCTGTCCCTCTACTGCACAAACTCTACGATGAACAGTGTACTTGTCGAAGACCGAAAGTAGGGCGGGCTCTGGGTACGAGATTGTTTCAAAATCAGCAAAATCTATTCTTATTGCGCCTGCGTAGCAGACCGTCAAAACAAGTCACGTGAAAGTCAGGYAAACCGGAAGTCATCTTGCTGCAGTTTATTTTTCCTCATTTCAGAAACTTCCTTTAGCTTTTCTAAGTAAAGATCAAGAAAACCGGAACTGTTATTAAAACTAAACGCTTCCACGAACGCTGGCAAAATACTAAAAAAGTGTTGATAGCATGAAGGTTTGTTTATTGAGAAATCATAGCTGAAGAAACAAGTTTGAACGAAACGGAAAAAATTCCTCGACTTGTACAGACATGAATTTATCATGTGATTTGGTGGGGGATGGGAGGGTGAGTCATCTTATTAAGTATACATAGCGCAAGGAGTAATAACGGTAACATAGAGGAATTTTTATCATCATTAAGGCAAAAATAAGAATGCTTATAATTATTACTTTGATTTACTGCTTGTTCTTGTTACTTGGTTTTCTACTGGGTGTATATATATTTAGGCCATTGATGAAAACAGGAAAAAATTTCTTCATAGCTCGACCTGTCAATCATCTGACAAACAGCGTTGTTTGCGGAATTTTACAATCATCGGCAAAACATTTTTCGGCGTTGACTTCACTTTTATTCCTAGGTTTKCARTGTTGGTTTTTACAATGTCTAGTAYACCTAAACTAATTCCTCCAAATCATAGTCCATGGTCAATGGTTTTCCCCTGTGGAGATACTCAAAAACCCATGACATTTTGAAGGCAGCGCGGGAARACAATACTACTGTTGTACAACCATGTGACATTAACACACTGRAACTCGSCAAATCATTAGAAGCAGYATATTGCTTAGTAACTGATAAATTTAGTTGTAACTTTCAAATCARTTGTGMAGGCTTACTGAAGCCCTTTTGTAATTTTAAGTGTTATCGTTTTCTTGTTGTGTGTGACATCTAAAGAAATGGTTAATTATTATTTAAAGAGATTCAAATGTATTTTGCTTTAAACGTTTTCCATGTGGAAAACTATGCGACTCATAAAGAAAGCAATAAACGAGTATTATAACAGCAGCCCCATCATCCTCTGAACCACCTACTTTTTAAAACGTCCCGAAGGATGACATCTGCATCCACTGCCATTGTCACTGATCTCAATCCGAGTAGAAACACTTACAGAACAAAAAGCCAACCATGAAATGCATAATATACTTACCATAATCAAGAAATTCAGCCGATACAGCGCACAGGATAACCAAGATACGAGCTGCTAGCATGGTTGTAATATGCTCCGTAGTATATGGTTGATTAACACGTGTTCACAATGCTATAACTATAACTCGACGCTGGCTAAGAAACGAAAGATCGGGGCACGAGCAGTGTGCTATAACCGGCAGGTTCCTGTCCCTGATATTTGATCCGTGCAGATATTGTCATGACAGATATTCTTGATCAAATAGCTGACTAGTCCATTTAAAGATTTCAAATCAAACATTTTGTATTAGAAWTCTAAGCGTGTAGTATTAATCTGTGTTTCTTTAGTCAACAATTTGTAGGTGGTCCTTGAAAGCCTTATATCAATCGAAAACACGTCAACCAGGATGATAGAATCCACGAGTTAAWAAGACATTAGTAATTTATATTTTTTTCTACTCAAAAAAAAAACAAGATTTCGATTGTTTGTGAACTGAGTAATTGAAAAAGACATTGGAAAAAAAATTTACAACGTGAGTTCGAGTCCATCACTAATCGTGACAAATTTCTGTTTTTCTTCTTGTCTACCGTAGAGTTCTTTCTTTTTTTATTCTGTTTTTTTTTTTTCAAGCCTTCTCATCGTATGTATAATACACAAACTTTCAACATTAACAATTGTAATTTTAGCATTGTTTTATTGTGCATTAGATGACTTCCTGCCTCAATGCACGTGCTCATCTGCGGCATGCATAAAAATAACTTCACCTTTCAGTTTTTCCGCTTAAAATTGTTTTATAAACACTGCACTGTACTTAGAATGTCAAAGATTTTCCACTATCGCTGAGTTACGAGACAGAGCAGATATCTTTTAAACATTGAACAATGGCAGAAAAGCAGTCGGGATTTTTCAAATGGTTCGGTAAGTTGTATTATTTGGTTAAAAACGGTCACATCAATAATAATGTCAATAAWTAGATGTCGATAAATTATCAATATTAACAGTTCTTCGGTCTAGCGGTAAGTAGCTGGATTCTTCAGCYATGTACTGCTTACGAAAAAGCATYTMAAAAAATAACACCCAATTACCAAAGCGGTGTTCTGAGATTTAGGAAATTAGGAATACATTATAAGACAGAACATAACCATTRAAGCCGAACACGTTCTTTTGCATTTTAATCAAAATTCCTAAATAGCAAAAGTTATTTTCTTAGTTGTTTTAAAGAGACGAATGGTGACTACATTTTGACAGTGTTGATGCATGCTCATCCACAGCAAATCTACTGTACGTAATTCATCAATCTTTAATTTTACAATATATATTTATAATGCGCACTTTCAGGTTCATTGAGTGGAAGGTTCTACAACACCCACCAGGAGTGGCAAAAGCTTCCCGAATGGGCAAAACAACATTATAGGATTGAAGCCGAGCAGCATTGTGGAGATATCGGTAATTATTCATAATCTATTTTTTTAACGACCATTCCAGCTCTTGATATCGCGATTTGTGCTTTAGACACATTTTTCTCTGGGGCCATGAAGGGGTTGGCTGAGGGCACTGTTGAGTACGCGAAAATGTGCCCTGAAGAAGCAGCTAAAATGGGCGCTGACGTTGCAAATAAGGTTGGACTTAAACCTGAGAATGGGGTCGAGTTTGCCGAGGGATTTTTATCAACTGCCAAGCTTGAGAAATAAATCTGCATTGTTCGTCATTATGATCACTTACAGTTCTCATAGTGCATAAACACTAAAATAACGCAATTTTATATAAACTATTTTCATTTTTTATTTTGATCATAAGATGAAAAAATCATAATAAATGCAATAAATGACTGAATTTTTGTTAATACTAGCTCATGTGCGATTGCTCAATATATTTTCTACTACATCAATGCAGTATGCTCGTAGCGCGATTTCGCGATTTCCTCCAAGGTTATATCTTTACAATGCATAACAGTACGTTAAAATGCTTGTGGTCATTGTGTAAAGTGCAAGAAATAAACGTCGAATTTAACATGTATCGAGAATTTGAATTGAACTGGTTACATGTGAGATTCAACGATAAAAGCTTTATAGCCTTTTAGATTGAGAACACCCGTGAAACAAGTCAAGGTCTCAGAAAATGATCAAATGTCTAATATCTATTTCACGGACTTGATGTTCTAGCACTTAGTGTTAAACGGGTTTAATACTGTCCCTCTATATAATATATACAAAATGCCTATACACATTTATATCTGACTTCTATATACTTGTGAGTRCCAGGACACGAGTCTCCATACACTTCGTTCTTAGCGTACAATCGACATGACGATTTACCATGGCATGCACACCGAATCCCTTGACTAGACGACTTATTTAAGCACCGTGTATTCTTTATATTGGAGTGAGGACAGACAGACCGACCACTGGTACGACCATAGTTCGCATAAACAATCCATAGACGCTTACGACTGGGACATCGCAGGACACCATTGTGGTTTTCACATAGATGATACGTTTCTGAATAAATTCAACATGATATTGTAAGACTTTAAGACCCAACAGATTTAACTTTGGCTGATGAAGGTACTAAGGGCTCTGAAAACTATGATTAAATTCGTTATAGTATTTAGTAATTTTAGTATGCAATGAGATATTTAAGAACGACAAAGCACTTACTTAACGTTTCTTTGGGTTGGCATACCACGCCCACATCGTTACTGTGGCGACACCTATGCTTGCCCCACCCATTAAACCGACACATCCCAAGATTCGTTTCGCGACCTGTACACCTGACATTATCCATCCAAATGGGACCTTTACTTTGACCGAAGTGAGCTCCTCGACGGACCGCTAAGGCTCTTGGGTAACCAAGCTGACGGCAGACTACATTGGCATCATAACGGTTCCACGAGCGATCACAGACTGATCCCCATCGGCCACGATACAATACCTCGACACGACCCATGTTGCGAAACTGTTTACTAACGAGACGAACACGAACTAAAAAGTAAAACAGTAAAAATGTTACGTATTCTATAAAAAAAAAAACAGCAATATAAAAATATCAAGATTCAAAGATCACAAATATGTGTACACAATAAATGAGAAGTAGCAAATTGGCTTTAAATAATACCTTTCAGTGGTTTTTTATCTTTCTTCCAAGCCTGAGGGTCCTGTTTCCAGGCTTGAGGGTCTTCTTTCCAGGCTTGAGGGTCCTGTTTCCAGGCTTGAGGGTCTTGCTTCCAAGCTTGAGGGTCCTGCTTCCAGGCTTGAGGGTCCTGTTTCCAGGCTTGAGGGTCTTGCTTCCAAGCTTGAGGGTCCTGCTTCCAGGCTTGAGGGTCCTGTTTCCAGGCTTGAGGGTCTTGCTTCCAAGCTTGAGGGTCCTGCTTCCAGGCTTGAGGGTCCTGTTTCCAGGCATGAGGGTCCTGCTTCCAAGCTTGAGGGTCCTCTTTCCAGGCTTGAGGCTTCATCATTTTACGCTTGCTCAAAGGTCTTTCAATTTCATTTGAAGTATCTTTACTCAATTCATCAAGAAGTTTCAACAAGTCAGAATCCTCTGAGAGATCTGCAAAACAATGTTATCAATGTTATCGGAATTAACTTTCCCTGTTTTGGCTGATTTGAGAGGATCATTGCCGGATTCCTCCAAGTTGTATTTTTTTAAATAGGTGTGCCAGGAAAAAGCCGAGAAACAGTGATTCCGAAATTCAACATTTATTAGAAGTCCTATATTAAGGTATAAATTCTCTTTTACGTGAGAAGTGGTACATTACTTAGACGACACTTTGCTACTTCATTCGGGTAACGGGGTAAGAACGATCAAGATCAAAATGATAAATCTGTAAATACGCCAATAAATTAAAGTTAAACGGAAGGTGTCTCGCGAAGATGACTTTAGACGTCAACAACACTATCCCTTACGGCAAATACCTGTCATCGATCACTTGCACTTTTAATTGATTATTAATTGAACTGAGGGTCATTCATCAGTTGTTGAATGAGACCTAACGGACAATGATCGCGCCAATTTTTCAAATCGAGATTCGTCCCTTAAAAC